GGACTAATAATATTATTCATTTGTCTAAACTAAGTTAGATCAAACAGGAATCGTGAACTTGATACTAATTATTTGGATGTCAAGTTGTATAATTCAACGGAAAGATCAATGTTTATTTAGTCACGATTCCAGTTTACTGCTCTTCACCTCATATACATACGATTATGTGCATGTTTACTGTCACCTCACGTGATCATCTCTCTTCGTATGTGTATGCATATTAGTATCCAGTAGTGGATCAAGTGTAAAATATTTACTGTGCAGTGATGTCTATAAACTAGTGCAAAACAGTATTCATCATCGTCGTAAACAAAAAAATAGGAATGAAAACGAGAAACAAATTAGTTTGTAAAAAGTATGCGTTATTTGTAGTTTTTCGTTATAGTTATTATTGATCGTAGGAAGACTTGGTTATGTTTAAATGGAATTCTCTCAAACAAAACTACCAAACTTAATTTTTTGCACTGTAGACACGTATTGATTGATTTTTATGAACAGTATATAAATTAATTACCAGTTCATTCAGCAAATACATTCATCATCATGAATCAACCTAGGTTAGACCGCCATTGAAAATTTGGAAGCGTTGAACAGCTGTTCCCGCCTAGTATGGGACTCAGCTTCCAGGTTTTCAATGGTTGTCTAATTTCGGTCGGTTCATGATTTCAAATTATTGATATCGTTTAAGAGACATGACATCTCTGGTTAAGTGCTGAAACAGTCAGTATGTATTCTGATTTTGTAGGATTGATGGATTGTGTTTGTCAGTGAAATTCATGGTACTTATCAGGCTACATGTAATTACATACTAAATTGGATGTTGTCATTAGGACTGTAACCGGAGTACCTTGTTCAACAGGCACAATGTTTAAATTGTTATTAGGAAGGATTTTACTTTGGAAATATTAGCATTATTGTTACTACTATTATGCAGATTACAAGTATCCTCTGTGTATTACTAATCCATAACGATTTTAAAATCAATCTTCTTGATATTTGTCTACAAACTCATTAGCATGATGTAGCTTTACATTTGTTTGGTTATTTGTCAAATTGATCTGAATTTAAGCTATGGTTTTGGTACGTGATAGTCTTCTATGTATATTATGGTTTAATATGTAATGAGATTATAAGAAATCCTGTCCTGAAAATAAACTGGCTAGTTTATAAGCTTAATGGTGATGTATTTCGGAGTATTTGTCTAAAGGAAGTCGAATGTATTGCAATAATATTGAATCCCCTACTGTTCTACACCCTCTACATCTTCGATTGGTTCGAGATGTTTATTGATTGATTGTGATTAATAGGAAGACATACTGGTCATTTTTCAAAGTTTTTGACACCTAACGAATTCTACGTTCATTTTTGATGGAATGAATTTTCCATCCAGTGTTATTTTGATAAAGATTACCAGCGAGCTATTCAGGGGTATTTCATTTTTAGAGGCTGAGATTTATACACTATTTAGTCAATAAATAAATAACCTTTGCGTTGTGTTGTCTGATTCTTTGTTTTGGTTGAATTCCCTTGATCAACCTTGAGGATAATATTTCATTAAAAATTTTAAATAATATTTGATATAATTCAGGTGTGTCTACTACAGTTATTGGAGCATGAGATCTACTATATCTGTCTATTCACGTCAAAATAAAATATTTTGGGCGATTTCATTACGGGATAGTCAGTCAGCTACAACGAAGAACTTCGTACGCACGTACATCAGTTCAAGTTGTCATAAGACATTAGCAAAGAGATGCGAATGTCAGTCCGTCTCATAATAGTAGAAGTAGCGGTATTGGAGAAGATTAGTGTTCGAAGAAATGATATGAGAAGTATCATCCAGTGAAATGAATTTAAAAACAGTAAAATAAAGGTGGTGGGGAATTCTGAACACTAGAATTTGAGAGAAGACAAATAATGGGTGCATGTGCGCCATTGCAAACGATTTTGAACTAAACCGTTCTGTTTCTAACCACTGGCAGTGATATCTGCTAGTAAGATAAAACATAAGGCTAGGAAGAAGCCGTGGATCTCATTAGCATCCACCAAACTGATAGATGCTCAGAAACACATCCTACCTGGCTCTCAACACGACGAACAGCTTAGGCTCAGGCTAATAAAAAGCCTATGCAATGATCGCAAACAGTGGTGGGTAGCGAAACCAAGAGCAATGGCAAAGGCAGCTGCGATAGGTAACAGTAGACGGTTGTTTCGACTTATAAAGGAAACCGGTATTAGAAATCCATCTGTTAGCGAAACTATCTCGGAAAAGGATGGGACTATTATTCATTCTCATTCCAGGAGATTGGATCGATGGGCAGAACACTTCAGAGATCAGTTCAACTTACCTTCAGCAACACTTCGGTTATCCACGACCTTCAGTCATCCTGAATGGCAAGTCGATGTAAGTCCCCAGAGTCTTTATGAAGTTGAGAAAACTATAGGAAATCTGAAGCGAGGAAGAGCAGCAGGTCCTGATAGGCTTACCTCTGAAATTTCTAAGAATGGTGGTCCAGTTTTGACAGTTAGATTGACTGAAATCTTAGGTACAAACAATCTCGGAACTGGGCGTGATACAATCTGACTGGTTTCAATCGCTGATTGTCCGAATTTATAAGAACGGACAAAAGTCCTCTTGTGATTGTCACAGAGGAATAAGTCTAACTAATATAGTTTCTAAAATATTGGCCTCATTAATACTTCAACGCCTAACGGAAGCTCGTGAAGAGCAGACTCGAGAAAACCAGGCTGTTTTTCGATCACATATTCACACTACGACAGGTCCTGAAACAAAGACACACGTTCAGACGCCCCATAATCGTAGTATTTCTCGACCTTAAAGCGGCATTCGACTCTGTCGATCGTGAGGTTCTTTGGCAGTGTCTGTCACTGAAAGGAGTACCAGAGAAGTACAATAACCTTATACAGGCTCTCTATTCGAACACCACTGGTCGAGTAAGAGCTTATGGCAAACTGTCATCCGAATTCTTTACTTCAAGTGGTATCCGTCAGGGCTGTTCACTCTCTTCATTCTTGTTTAGCTTTGTCGTAGATATGCTTTTAGAGTTAACATTATCATCGTCTGAATTATCAGGTGTGGACCTTCTGCCGGGAGAAATACTTGCTGACTTAGAGTATGCTGATGACATAGTCCTATCTGGTGAAGACCCTGACAAAATACAGTCTTCTGGCAACTCTAAGTAACAAGCCAAGCATGTTCGGGATGCGGTTTTCCCTCTGGAAATGTAAAATGTTGCTTCAAGATTGGGTTGCATCGGTACGTACACTGGTATTAGGAAGTGAAGTAGTCGATCGTGTTGACCGCTTCACTTACCTTGGGAGTCTCATCAGTGCTGATGGCCTGGTGACTGACGAAATCTCAGCACGGGTACAGAAGGCTCGATTGGCTTTTGCCAAACTGCATCACCTATGGCGCAGGCAAGATACCCGTTTGCTGACTAAACGAGGAGTGTACTGCGCAGCAGTTCGTTCCGTCCCACTGTATGGCTGTGAAACATAGCCAGTGAGAGTAGAAGATATTCGTAGGTTGCTTGGTTTGATCATCGGTGTCTCCGAAACATTGCTAGTGTATTATGGGACAACCGAGTGAGTAATGCTGTCGTTAGGCTTCGGATGCTAGGTAAAGATGGCAGATCAATTGATGAGGTATTGAGACTCCATCAGTTGAGGTGGTTGGGATATCTGTTGCGTATACCCAACCACCAACTGCCTCGACGAGCTGTGTTTTGCGGTTTAGGAGTAGGTTGGAGGAAAGCTAGGGGCGGTCAAACGAAAACATGGCAGAAATCGATGAAGTCACTGACAAGTGGACTGAGTCATGTCGGTAGGTGTCGAATAGCTGGTTGGGGTCAGCGAGATGATAATAATCGATGGTTGGAGACCCTGAGTGACATGGCTCAAAAATATTTGCAATGGCGCAAGTGCATTTACTCTTTGTGTTCTATGAAATTCTAACCTTTTGAATTCCTCATCACCTCTATCTTTCTATTTCTAAATTATCTCACTGAATTATACTTCTCGAATAATATCTTTGAACCCTAATCTTCTCTATTACCAGTATTACTTCTACTATCGCTACCACTATTGGATTTGAACTGGTAGTTGCGTCTCTATGCTAATATGGTACTGTAGTGCCTCTACATACATTTGAGTTCGCTTTTATTTAATTTGGTTAAACCTTTCGATTAACTTATTTAACTAAGCCACTTGTATAGCAACAACGTATATGTACCATTGGATTTTACGATTGTCTGGTTTGTTTGAGCTGGTACGACTGAATATTGATTACGCCTACGCGCATATTCACCCTATTCGCTTTAATGTTCATCTCTTAAATATCTCGATGACTCGGCGTTCCCCTTTGCATATATACGAGCATTTTAATCTTATTAATTCGTTCGCTCATCCACCAATTCTCCCATTCACCAATTCGCTCGCTAATATGCTTTGTGTGATTGTGGTCTACTGTACCATTTTGTGGTGTGTTAAAAATAAACGAATTCAACACTTCGTATTTGCCTTCTGATTTATAACCGCCAGGCGCTATTTAGTGACGATTGCCTAGACGAGCGAATCGCGAAGCTTAAGAACACGTTGGAATTGGCCACCACAGTATGACAACCTGAACTTGTGTACTCATGTACGGAGTTCTACGTTGTAACTGACTGACTGACTAACCACTGGTTTCGATTGTCACGCTGATGTCAACCAAGGTAGTCTACACCTACTAACATGGCTCAGCGCACTTGTCAGTGACTTCGTAGATTTGTGCCATGTTTTGGTCTGGCTGCCCCTAGGTTCCTTCCAGCCTGCCCCTATACCACAAAAAATTGTCCTAGGATATACGTGGAGTGCTTCGAAATAAAAGTAAGTTTTAATGTTTATTTTACTAATAGAGGCTTTTTAAGGGTATCACTAATTTAAATTATTTCTTGTATTTTTTTTAATTTCACTCCATTTTTTTCCATCTCTACCTGAAGGACTGCAACCGATTGTAAACCACGGAGAATTAATGATTTATCATTGGCCAATAATAGAACGATTCCATCCGTCTCAACAGGAACAATGTCTGATTTAAGATACCCTAGTATGAAAACTAGTCCTTCTTTACCAAGATCAATGGATCAATTAACAAATCGTTTTAATTCACGTTCTTCAACTCCTATAAATGAACCAGTGAACAAATACGATCAAATGGGTTGTCCACCTTGGTTAACAACTGATCAGAGTACTTACTCATCAACAGATTCTTCCCATTCTAGTAAATTACAACCTATTTCACATGATCACACAACCGAGTTAGCTGATTCCAGACTGGCTATACTACACGATGCAAAATTAGCTTCATTGAGTGTAGATTGGCCTTCTTGTACAATGACTCAAAATATACCTATGAGTAAAGCAAGTCGAATTAGATCGTCGAGTTCTTTCTCATCATCAGTATGCACGGCATTGGCTTCTTTTTCTAACACTACTCCTGAATCCTCATTTCCCTCAAATCAGTTACATGCAAAGACAGCAACAACTAATTCATTATCTTCATCAATATCATCATCTGTTTCTCTTGTTGCCTCTGAATCTCTTGTTAGAAGTCCTATTTCTGGTCATTGTAGTCCTACTATTCCTATGAATTTCAACCCTAAAGGACTCTCTACACAAACTCAACCATACATTTGTTCATCATCTTGTCAGACATTCAACTCTTTATCTCCAAATACTGGAATAAATAGAATTCCAAACTCTAGTAGCCAGTCACAATTCTCAAAGCTTTCTGGAGAAAAATCTCCAACTGTTTATTCTTCATGTGGACAATTTTCGCCTATGAATACAAATTCAACTACTCCCAATGATACTGTTGAATTGTCTAACAAAACAGAAACTGATCGTTCTAACAATTGTCTTGGTAAGCGATCTACACCACCTGAACAAGTTAAACAACATGTTTCAGTAGGTACGCCAAATGTAATGCCAACTTTGTTGCCACAGTCTAAACAAGAGTGTACAAGGACAAAGTTTACTTTTGACACTAATTTATCAGATCATCATCGATCTCGAAGCATTTCAATGCCATTGAAAAAACGACTTATTCAACGTTATGAAGCTGATAGTGTAGATATTAAATCATCAGAGTTATCAGCACGTAATCCTGTTAAGAATGAATTTCCTATGGATAGTTCTAAAGTTCATAATAAATCAACTTATGCAGAAGATATGAAAAACAATCAATATTCGCCGGAAAATCGGATTTCAATGAAAGATAATGTTGTAAGTTTCTCCATTTCACATTGTAACATATTTAGAGTGTATTCGAATGGGTTATTTATGATTATTTTCAATATACAAGCACACTATCTCACTTAGTTCATTGCTTATCACGAGATAGAGTTGATATCTCAGACATATGTTGATATAGTAAGTTATAAAACAGTGAATTAATTCACTTACAACTTCTGCTCCATAAGGTGGGTTGACGTCAACTAATCTTGAAACATAGCAGACTATAATTAGTGTTTCTGACAAATTAGGCCAGTCAATTCATTTTTTGATGCCTAATTTTTAGATAATCTACTGTTTTTAAGAATTTCTCTGGTTCTATTGGGTTGTGACAATAGGTATCGATAATTTTATCTAGAACGATTATGAATGCTGCGCAATTAATCCATCTAGTTCAAAGAAGGCAACATACAAAATTTGAGGCAGTTTTTGAATATTTTCAGAGGTTGCTGTTGTCCTCATCATAGTGGCGTTTTACAACTGTAGGTATTAGTGGGCCTAGATACTCTGAAAGTTACTATCTAAGAGACACATACGTCTGATTTCGCTTACAAATCGTAAGAGTGGATAGATACACGTCAAAAAATCTTAAGAAACTCATAGAGATTCGGTTCTTATTTAAGGGTCTTTTCTCGAAGGCGATATTTCTCCTATTTTTGATGTCTTTCAGGCATATTCTATCTTTATTCACCCATTTCAATCAATTACTAACTAATTTTAGATCTACGGTGCTTTTTTAAGTGATTCCTATTTATGTGAGTGAAGTTGAAAGAACAAATCGCTGGATTCTAGCCCATCAGTTTACGAGCTATCGTTTCACAAGCTCCGAAAAAGTACAATTCCAGACATTTCAATGGTTGGCAATCTTCTGAGAAAAAAATGAACATTAATAAGATGTCGATTCTTGAACTACTTACTTCTAACTGCCCATCATTAATTATTTTGTAAAGGAAACTTGTTTAAATAATCCTTACTGAGAATTCCATATTGTAGTAAAACACATAATATTGAGTAATGTCATTATTATTATATCATTCTGTGTGAATCACAATCAAATGAACTATTTGGTTGTTAGATAGTCGTTCAAGAGACCAGTAGTATTTACCTTAATAGCTCAATAAAAACATCCTTTTTTGTGAAAATGGGTTGGGCAGATTTGAATCACTTTACTGATTCTTGTAGCTTTTTTGATGAGTGTTGTCACAAGGTAATTTACATTCAGAGCTGTCTTCCAATTACTTACAATTGTATGATATTTTTAAACCATGAACCGATCAATGTTAGACCACCATTAGAAACCTGGAAGCACTGGACGGCCGTTTCGTTCTGGTATGGGACTCCTCAGCAGTGCGCATCCACGACTCCTGCACCCCGCAGGATTCGAACCCAGGACCTTCGGTATTGTGCGCGAACGCCCTAACTGATAGACCACTGAGCCGGTATCTAACGGTGTTAATGTCTAACGATCAAATTCACAGAGTTGCGCAACCTCATATACAGTACAGTCTTCGGTAGACACTGCCTACACCCGAACAGGTTGAACACGTCACTGGTCACGTAACTTAACAATCTTCACAACCCCGTAATGCAAATTGTATGATAGTCTTTTTACAGTGATATACATATTTTTTAATTATTAGAAAGTGATAAAAGATATTACTTATTACTTTGCATAGTTTTTTTTCTTTCCAGTTTTATTTTGTTGTTTTGTATTCTACCTTTTATGTGTTCATGATATTTTCTTATTTATTCTCTTGTATATAATAGTTGTTATCATTATATATTTATTTTAATTGATTTTGCATTCAGGTAGAAAAATTAGATTGTCAAGGAAGAAAGTTTAAACAAAAAAAACGTACTAAATATGAAACAGATGGAATGTTAAACATGAATACCGATGAAAGTAAATCAACTAAAATTCGTAAAAAATCTTCATCAAATTCTTTAAGAAAATCTCATTTAAAAACTACACGTCGATTAAAACATTCATTAAATGATAATATTGAATTAAAATCAAATATGAATAAACAATTGTCAACAATGAACTTAGAACTTGATGACAACATTCATGATGATGAAGATGAAAATATTATTGATGATGATGATGAAGAAGAAGTGAAGGAACTAGAAGAAAATGACAATGCTGTTGATGAAGATCAAAGAATTAAACAAACAATGAATAAACGAAATTCTAGAAAGCATAGCTCAAGTGCAAATAGTACATCAAGTTTATCACATTCTTCATTAGGTAATGATTTAATTAGAGGTGGTAGTGTAAAAAAACGTATGGCTGCTGTTAATGGTAATCTTATGATGATGGTTACTGCATACGCTCAAAGAAGTACTAGTTCAGGTAGTAATAACAGTAATTGTAGTAGTTCGTCTAGTTTACAAAGTGTTGATGGTGAAGTCAGTGATGATAATGAGGCATGCTTAAATTCTTCATCAAATTCATCTGTTAATACTACACGTTCTAAAAGTTCCACTCATCGACATTTATCTTGTTCGAGATTACAGTCATGTAAATCTACTTTACAATATTTAACTACAAATTGTACCACTTCTAATACAACTATTACTATTCCTGATAATAATAATAATAATAATGATAATAATAATAATAGTAACTCGTTAACCCCTAATGATGGGTCACCCGCTGTTACATATTCATCTATGGAAAGTGTACAAACTGTCAGTGGTGATGTTGCTAGTAGTGGCAGTTTAAGAAAACTGAAAAGAACAGCCGCTTTAACTGCAGCATCTGCTACTAAATCTGGATCTTCAGTTACAACAGCGAAAAAACCTCGTCTCTCATCTACATCATCATTAACAACCACAATGACAACAGGAAAAACAACAAAAACCTCATGGAAAGAACATCGAAATGGTGATAATGGAAAGTCAAGCACTATCATTCATGGCGATGATTCAGTAACACGTATGAAATTGAAAACCGAGTTATTAAATCAAGATGATTATTCATTGATGTGTAATAACTCTATGCCAGATGAATTGTCAGCTGCTTTAGCTGAAGAAAATTTAAAATTTGAAGAACTTGTTGAACAGCTTCCTGGACCGCCTGACTGTAAGTTACTGTAAATATATATATATATATATATATATATATATATATATATATACATATATTTCAAAACTTATTTTATTCATTTTAACTAGAGGTATGTAGGAACCTGTCATTTTACGGTTGTTCACTCTGTCGAACAACACTTTGTCTTCAGGGATTTAAGAAGGAAACTGTGTTTGTATTCGTTTTGTCCAGTATGAAGTTTGAATTCAAAGCTCAAGAGTTAACTGCTTGAAGCCGGTTTCTTTCATTTTTGTGAGTAGTGTTTGGTGTGTTTCCTCTGTATTTTCTGACCTTATGGTAGGCGAATGAAATAAATAAGGCTATGAAGCATCAATTGTACCATATGTCTCCCACTTTGCTCCGCTATTCGCCATCCCATTGGGCAGTTGATGCTATGAAGCATCATTTTAGGGGTTAATGTGTTCAACTTCCAGCCTCTAAGCCTCAGATACGAACCTCGCTTCACCCATTTCGATCTAGGCGACCTGGCAGTATCATTATCCCTCACACTTAGAGTGTAGTTCGTACTGAAGTAACTAGTAAATAAGTTAATTACCAACAGTAACAATAATAACAATAATCATTTGTATTGGTTGTTTGAATATTCCCATCGATGTTTAGAATTGAGATTGATCAATCTCTTTGGTATATGTGCATCCTATTTGGATTGCCTTGATATTGCCTTCGGGTTACAAGTATTTATTAGCCGGGTGGTAGATAATGGCTAGCGGTGGAATCCTGGTTGCACGTTTCGTCCTATTCGGGACTCGTCAGCTGGATATACCTGCATCTCAGAGTTAATGTTCGCACTGCTATGGGAAGTTTCAAACAACCAATACAAATAAATTAATCGAACTGATAGTATGAAAAGGTGTATATAAAAGGAATACTGGGATTCAAGATCTAGAGTAAGATAAGGTTTGAATAAATCTACACCCCTGCCACATTCTGATCTACGCCACCCACATCTCCAACCGTTGGTCACAGAATTCGATTTGACCCAAACCACTTAGTTCGTATCTGACAACATGGGCCAGATCAACAATCAATTATTTCATAGAACGGTGCTGTGTTTTGGTTTGATTTCCCTTAGTTTTTTTCTAACCTACGACATCAAGTAACATTTTCTTTGATGGTAGATTGTGTCTTGGCATATGTAACATATGTTCAAACCACCTTGGTTGATGAAGATGTATATCCTTATTGACTGATTCTGAAGTTAATGATTTATTTAAATTCAAGGTATATCCTTATTTTAGCTGTTCTTCTTTTTCATAGTATGTTTATTTTTTTTTCCGGTTTTTTCCCTTTAGATATATATAACTAAGTTATGTAATACCATTTATAGCTAACTTATTGATCTTTGTTAATTTTTCTTCATAGTAAATCGAACAGCCAATAAATCACTACATCCTACACATTCACTAAATTTTTATAAACGTAGTCAACGAGTATTTGTTCAACTAATCAGTTGTAATGATCCAGGATTGAAACAAGTTCCAAAATGTCGTGCTTGTCGTCAAACTAAAATTTCTTATGAGAATTCACCTTCAATTTATGCAAATGGACAAATGAATTCAGATGACGATGATGAAGATGATGATGATGATGATGAAGAGAATCCTAAACTTATCATCACTGATATTCCTAGTCCAATTAATAATAATCAAAATTTTTCGAATAAAATAAATAAAGATATTGAATTTAAAAAACCACGTGGTCGAGGAACTACTCTAGATAAGAATAAACGAAAAGAAAATATCAATGACAAATCTAAGAATAAACGAAATACTACAAATTCATTATCAGTGTCAGTATTCTGTCGTTTTTGGGGATTTAGAAAGTGAGTATTAGTCAATATAGAGTTGTTTGACTTTTTAATCACCATTGTATTATATTCACTTGAAGTGACAATAAGATCATTTTGAGTTTCTTTTTTGTTATCTTAAATATTAGGAGTTAAACTGAAGGATCGTTAAGAAGATAATAAAGAGTTGTGTAATGAGTTTTTGTGTTAGTTCGTGACTCATCAGCAGTTAGACATTAACACCGTTAGATACCGGCTCAGTGGTCTGATGGTTAGGGCGTTCGCGCACAATACCGTAGGTCCTGGGTTCGAATCCTGTGAGGAGCAGGAGTCGTGGATGCGCACTGCCAATCAGTCCTTGTTCTCATGTATACATCCTGAGTGAACTGTTACAATGCTACCATTTAGTTACAAGTTTGTTTAAATTAACATTAGATTATTGCTATCAGTGAAATTTAGGATAAGTGTTTTGTTTTATTTGAGACTAGTTGGTTAGACGTACTTGCATATGAGTGTTCAAGTTCACATCACAACTTAAATGTTTCACTCTAAACATCTAATGAGTTATTGACTGAGCTAGTGATTCCTAAAATTCACCAACTTGTGCAACAGGTATGCATTTGATTGGTACGAGTTTGAATTTTCTTGTTGTTTTACTACTTAGACCGTGAATATCCAACACTGCTATGTAGGTACATCCAGCTGATAAAGTCCTCAATAAGATCAAATATGTAGATCGAATTCAGTTGTTTGCACACCGTAATATTGGTTATTATGTTTTATGAAAGTAATCTGGAGAACATTCCCTTGATTTATCCTTTATTATATGTTGATCTACATCCCATTAAACAGTTAAGTACCTCTCACCTACTGCACAGTTCAATTTATGCTGATTGTTGTACTTTCCAATTTTAAGTATCATTAAGTTATTTCTTTTAAAATTCGCTTGAAAGACGTATTCATGTACGAAAATTGATGTTTTATGTAATCCACACTGGACCCCGATCGTAGCTTGTTGCCTTAACTCGGTGGTCAGACTCGCCTATCATGATGAGCCAACCGAACTATATTGGCTGGAAGACGTTTCTTTAGGTCTGTGGCGGTGAACATTCGATACAGTTATTGAATAATTTAAATGACAAATTATTGAAGTTGGTATAATAAACAAATGGTGATATACTACAGGTCCTATCATATCAGGCAGGTCGATAAGTGAACGGTAAGACTAAAAATAGCAACGCAAGTTCTGATGGTTTAATCGTGCTGCTGACTGTAGAGAGGCGTGACTGCGGTAAGGTGTTTTCTCAAACAGCCAGCATCTGCAGTGATACAGTCTTCTCACAGCGAAAGAAAGAGGTTAGAAAAGGTAGACCGAAAAACATCACCCTTACTCACTTTACCCCACGGATTTCCGTCCCCAGCAATAAAGCTTTTCAAAGATCGGAGCTGACACCTTCAAAACTTTCAACAAAATGGTCGTGCGTAACCGGCCTCAAGCAGTTGTCCTTTGGGCTCTGTAGTTATGCTCCCAGGCTTTATAAGACCAACAGTAACCTAGCTTCATTTTTAGGTCTCTGAAGAAGAAATGCCCTTCTTCCACGGTGTGAGCGGCCAGGGAACGTCAACCGCCCTCATATCCGTAACAGCACACGAGATCAACTTGCTCACAGTCGAATTCTCCCTCCACCTCTTTATAACTCTTGTATCCACGACTAACTCTTCTCACATTCCTCTGTCACGTTGGGCCGCTGATGCTAACGATTCGGGTACACGAAATGTTATTCCTGGAGCTTTCAGTATTCGAACCTTGTACCAAATAGGACAATAGGCTTCCTTTGTTAGAACATTAGAATCTTACGCGACTGATGTAGGCTGCATCTCTGAAACGCGCATACAGCATCCGAGTAGAATCATTCATTTGACTTCATCATGTAGTATGAACAACCATCGCGACTTACTTTTCGTGTATCTGGATACCTCATCGCTACTACTTGTGACCTATTTGGTGTAAGTATAGCGATTCTCCGTCTTGAAATGCAAAATGTTGCTTTAGGATCAGCTTGCATCGTCATCTGAACTAGTGATAAAAAGTAAAGCAGTTGAGCATGTTGGTCGCTTCACTTATCTTGTGAGTCTCATCAGTGCTGATAGCCTGGTGTTTGACGAGATCTCAGCAGGTATAAAGCTGGCTCGACTAGCTTTTGCCTGGCTGTGGCAATTATGGCGTAGGATCAGTCTACTGTGCAGCAGTTCGCTCCGACCTAATATACCGGTGTGAAGCATGGGCAGTAAGAATAGATGATATTCGTAGGTTATTAGTATTCGATCATCAGTGCCTTCGAAGTATTGCTCATATATCCTGGGACAATCGATTAACCGATGCTAGTGTTAGGAAACGGGTACTAGTTAATGATGGCAGATCAATAGATGAAGTAGTGAATGTTCATCAGTTGACGTGGTTAGGATATGTGTTACGTATGCTCAACCACAGAATGCCTCGACGAGCAATGTTTTGTGGTGTAGAGGTAGGCTGGAAGAAATCTAGGGGCAGCCAGACCAAAACATGGTACAAATCTACGAAGTCACTGACAAGTGTGCTGAGCCATGTTATTAGGTGTAGAGACTACCTTGGTTGAGATCAGCGAGGCAATCGTAACCGGTGGTTAGAGACTGAACAGTATAGTTCAAAATCGTTTGCAATGGCGCAGATGCATCCATTATTTGTCTTCTCTCAAATTTTAGTGTTCGGAATTCCTCATCGCTGGATTATACTTCTCGAATCCTATCTTTGAACCCTAATCTTTTCTATTACTACTTCTACTTCTACTATCTCTACCACTATGAGATTTGAACTGACGTTTTCATCTCTGTACTAGTGTCATATAGGAACTTGAACTGATGTACGTACGTACGTACATACGAAGTTCTTCCTTGTAGTTGACTGAATGACTAACTAATCTGCTCTAGAAAATGAATGATATTTATCATACTTTTTACCGGTATAGTAACCATATATATAGAGAGCTACCATGATTACATATTTTTTTTTCAACCTGTGTAATGTGATTGATAATATATGAAAGATTCAAATATCTATTCCTTTCCTGCAGTGTCTCATTTTCTTTTTTTTTACTGTAAAATCTATTCGTTTCCTATTTTATTTTATTTTTTTTTAAAAAATTTTGTTGTACATAAAATAAATGTAAAGTTTTTTTTCTTTTTTGTTGTTTGAATTAGTTAATACAAAAATGATAATGCATACTGTTTTTTTTGTTTTATTCTTTTGTTAAATATTCAAACAACAACAACAACAACTCAACAACTGAACATAAATTCAATTATAAAATTTAAAAAAAAAATTAAACAATAGATTATGTTATAATAGTCGAGGTGTATTGAAAATAGCTGATTTTTGTCGATCTACTGAATCTGATGTATTAGAACGTTCATTATGGGAAATGTATCATCCAGGTAAATGTTATATATATATATATTTCATTATTATTATTATTATTATTATTTTCTATTATTTCTCTATATATGTAATAATTTCGTATTAAATTCCATTAGAAAAAAAAGTACTCTGTTGTATTCTTGTGATTATGTTGTATATAATTAACATTTATGAACTTTTGTTGATACTGTATTATTTGATCCAGGTGAATGATTTGATGATAGAGTACTGATTATTATTATTATTATTATTATTATTCTTGTTTAATTTTATCATAGACATGCTCCTAGAAATAAGCTTATCGTCGTCTGAATTTCGTAGGAGTAGACCTTCTATCAGGTGGCTCGCTTATTGATTTAGAATATGCCGATGACATAGTCTCCTACTTGGTGAAGATGCTGACAAAATGCAGAGTCTTCTGTCTATCCTAAGCAACAATGCAAGCATGTTCGGGATGCGGTTTTCCCCCTCGAAATGCAAAATGTTGCTTCAAGATAGGGTTGCATCGGCACCTGAACTAGTGATAGGAAGTGAAGTAGTCGAGCGTGTAGACCGCTTCACTTATCTTCGGAGTCTCATCAGTGCCGATGGCCTGGTGACTGACGAAATCTCAGCACGTATACAGAAGGCTCGACTGGCTTTTGCCAACCTGCGTCACTTATGGCGTAGGCGTGATATCCGTTTGCTGACTAAAGGACGAGTGTACTGTGCAGCAGTTCGCTCCGTTCTCCTATATGGCTGTGAAACATGGCCAGTGAGAGTAGAAGATATTCGTCGGTTACTGGTTTTCAACCATAGGTGTCTTCGAAGCATTGCTCGTATACCGTGGGACAACCGAGTAAGCAATGCTGTCGTTAGGAAACGAGTACTAGGTAAGGATGGCAGATCAATAGATGAAGTGGTGAAACTTCATCAGTTGAGGTGGTTGGGAAATGTGTTGCGTATGCCTAACCACCGACTGCCTCGTCGAGCCTTGTTTTGTGGTGTAGGAATAGGTTGGAAGAAATCTAGGGGCGGCCAAACCAAAACATGCCACAAATCCATGAAGTCATTGACGAGTGGACTGAGCCATGTCGGTAATTGTCGACTACCTGGTTTGGGTCCGCGAGATGATAATAATCAATGGTTAGAGACCTTGAATGACATGGCTCAAAATCGTTCGCAATGGCGTCGGTGCATTTATTCTTTGTGTTCTCTCAAATCCTAATCTTCTGGATTCTTCAACACCTCTAGTTTCGACTCTCTAAACTTTTCTCACTGAATCAAACTTCTTGAATAATATCTTCTAATCCTAACCTCTCCGATTACTTCTAATACCCTTACTAACTCTTCTACCATTGGATTTGTATTGACAATTGCATCTTTATGTGCTGATGTGGTATGGCGACATGAACTGATGTACTTACGTACGAAGTTCTACGTTGCATCTGACTGTGACTGACTGATTATTATTCTAGATAATAAATACTATTCGAGTCTACTTTGTGTAGAGAAAGAAGTGCCTAAAACAACAAAACCGTTTATCGTGACTGATTAAGTAGACATAATACAATGAAGAACATATATAAGCCTTGTGAAATACTTCTATTTGACTTTTCACAGTAATAACTTATGTTTTAGCATTTTTTGGACTTTCAGCCATTTTATTGAACTCTATTTTAGAAGATGTTTTCCAGTTTACGCCTTTATAATGTAGTAATTGTTAATTTTTATATATAAAAAAGCTGATGTATTAACTTTTTCTATATAAAAACATTTATGTGTTTAAAGTCGGTCATTGGTTTTTATAGGGCTTATCGATGTTGATGGAAGACCATAGGCTAAGCCAGTTTTACAGCCGATCATTTTTATTCCAATTCTCCTATCATTACAATTTAATACAGTAAGGAACACTACTATATCGGATTGAGAGTTCAATTTTACCTTTCTCCAATCAACCTATCTGATATGGTAGGCATTAAGGGAATGAATACTCCAGCCAATATGTTGGGGATGTTAGATCCCCGAAATTCGCCTGATAATGCCGTATTTTGGTTTCCACGTTTTACCAGCATGGGCTGATCAGATGACCTTGAGATTTCAATTCCCACCAGGAAAATCCATGGCTGTGATTGGCTGCTGTGTATTTTAGTATGCTATTTTCTTAACTGTCTCAAGGACGTTCCTATGTTGTATAAATAAACGAGAGTTGTATGCTTGATTGTACTGTGATTGCTGGGTGTTTGTAGAATATACTTTCTACGCTTACAAAGCCTTTTATTTCGACTTTGGGTATTCAAGGTAGCCTACCTGGACGCTGGTAAAAGTCTCGTTCGCGTTTATCGACTAAGGTAAACTCGTAATAGCCTCAAGCATACTAAGTGACGAACTTATCACAATATTAGCTTAGTAGATTATTACGATATGCAATAGAAGGATGAATCTTTTCTTCAATACTGACTAATAATTTTTTTTCTTGAATTGCTTTTCAGTTTCTCCATTTCTAAGCACATACGCTGCTAGATATCTTTTAGAATGTGCTGGTGGTTTATTCTGTCATCTTCTTCATCAAGAATTAACAAGTTTAAATAGTAATCATGGTTATCAAGCTCAAAGTGAAAAAATCAACTCAATCACCGGGAAAAATAGAATTAGTAGTCATACACTGGAATCAAACAATAAAAATGATGGCATCATCAATTCAGTTGCATGGAAAAGACCAGTAAAAGGTGTACGTGAAATGTGTGATGTCTGTGAAACAACAATGTTCAATACACATTGGGTTTGTGGTAAATGTGGTTATTCAGTTTGTACAGATTGTTTAAATGAATCAAAATCATCCAATGATATGTGCAACAGTAATTTAGATACACGTGATCATACAAAATTCAATGAAAATAGTACAGTGGAAAAAAAAGGCAAATTCAAATATATACGAGGTTTGTGAGCTAGTGTTTTTGATATTTTATTGCTTTGTCTTTAATTTCTTCGCTTGATTTTAACTCCAGTCAGTATACTTAACGAAATAATAATTTATTTATTTAACTTAGAAGTAAATAACTGATGAAACTGATCAATTTCACTAAAAATGTTGACTTATTAGACCTTAACTTAATGTGACCTCTGAAACACTAAAAGATTCGTAAATTTCCTGGTTTTTATATTCAGGACAGCAATTCATCAGTTTCTATAGTCAATGTATGCAGTGTAGGTGAAATACCTTGTGAGTATTTACATTATGATGCAGACACAAGTAAAACTGATGAGTTTCGAATAGGTTGGAACCTATGTCCTAGTTTTCACTGGTATCCTCAATCTAAATATTACTAAAATCTCCGCTGGACTGTATGCTAATATAACAGACCTATCATTATTCATATTATTTTATCATTGTCGCTATCATTGTCTTTTGTTACAATAATTTTTGAAGGTCGTGGTTGTCCATACGGTTGGGCATCGTGTACTACAACACGTCAACATCATGATCCAAATAAACTTCTATTAACTTCTTTATTACCATCTGGTATTATTGGTCGATTAATTCATCGATTACATCGTATAGCTAATCAATATCAGATTAATTTAAACTGTGGTTGTTCTTCATCTTCTTCAACTATGAATAATAATGATACAACACATTTATCAGATGATACATTATTATTTATGAAACCAATGAAATCATTAGAAAATCAAGAATGTTTAGATCGAAATTCTCTTGATTTATTAGCTGATATTGCTTTGAAAGCTGACATAGGAAAACCTGCATCACTTGCTGCTACTGGTAATATGAATAACAATAGTAACAGTGTTACAAATAATGTTGCTGTAAAAACTGAATCTAACACTTCACATAATAATCTTTCTTCTTCTACAATAATTGACGATGGAATTAGTTTATTAGATAATGACATCAATAATAAACGTACAGTAATGATGACAATAAATTTTCCATCTCATAGTTGGATTCATTCCAGAAGAAGAAGACATATTATTGATCAACGATCCTGTAGTCAAAAGATAAATGATGCAACTACCAGTAGTAGTAGTAATACAATCATTACTAATAATAAAATTATTCATAATGATAATCATGGATTTGATTCTCATAAAGAATCAAATATGAAAATTTATCAATCTTCTGAAATGATCACCAATCATCATCGACATCATCATCATCATCATCACAATCCCATTTTCTTGCGTTTACATTGTCCTGATTCCGCTGGAAATTTGTTAGCATTTCAAGTGAGTATTATGTTCATAGATTTTATATACTACATATGATATTGTATGATAAGTATGTGGTGCTGTGGTGCGAACTACTTATAAGTAGTATATAGCGTGAGTGTCAACGTAAAGTCTGGTAGCATAATATGGGGGGAAGATCAAGAAAGGAAGAGTCAGAAAACAATGGAATTTGTATGAAATGCATGAAGAGTGACAATGGATTGATGTTTGGCAACAGGAACAGTCCAGTTCCATAGGATGAACTGATCCTTTGCAAATGAACGATTTACGATATGGTTTTCCAATTTTACTGAGTAACTCTGTAATTTTCGTTAAATACTATTCGGTTGCCTCCACCTGTGTTCTCATTCACTACAAGTATATTTATAGTTTCAATCATAAACTTATCATAGCTAGAGCGCTATTGAGAAGCTGAATGGCCGTTTCATCTTGGTACGTGACTCCTCACTAGTTCACGTCCATGACCCCATATCTGAGAACCGAGCCCCAGTACTTTTGGTTTAGCAAACGAACGCTTAATTTATAGATTATTGAGTTGAGATCCACCAGTATTAGTGATTAAATACAATCAACTTGAAATATTGTACAACCGTCTTTATGTTAAGCTCAACTTGTGATTTAAAGTAGGAAAATTCTACAATCTCCACAAATCCCCTCTACGTAAATATATCTTACCTATGTTGTTGTGTTTAGTTCCAACTAATTTAAAGATAAAATCAATAATTCCAATTGTCTTCTGTCTAGTTTTCTAGTGTTTAGTGTTTAATGATTACGTTATAAAGGTTTTGTAAAAGAAAACAGGCTAATTGATTCACAATAGAAATTATTGGTAAATGAGAAAGTCCAATGTTTGAAATAGTAAGAGCAATTGACAAATTCCCAACATGAATTCTCAAATTTGTATTACATTTATTAAATCAAAGTTAGTAGTTAGTTGCTTATTTATTTAGTTTATATATGAATGAAATGATTATTCTTTCTTCTGAGTACATTCTTACTCTCTCTCTCTCTCTCCCTCTTTACAAAAATTGAAGTACAATATCAATTATTCCTTAAATATTTCACCCATGCATCAGATAATGTTGAATTAGTTAAGAGATTTCAATGAATAAAACCTATAATCTATTGACTATTGTTTCACTCACTGAAATGGATATTATGCCACACACACACAATGTACAATGCTTGTTTAGTTTCTGTTATATATATATAACTAACTCCTCAATCAATGCATATCTAATGTCTATGATGTATGATTGCACTAATCATTCATTTATTATGAAAATAAGTTTTGTTTAATTAACATAAACATTTGTACACGAAAAAATAGAAAAAAACAAACTATGTAGATAAACAAATCGAAATTATAAAATATTCATACATGCGTACACAATTAGTGAGTGTTTGGCAAATAGTTTACTTCAAATCAGCTGATATACTTATCATTTCTATCATTATTAATGTTATAAATTAATCTTTATGTGCTAGATAGATAGATAGATAGGTACATAAATTATAATCATATGATAGGATTGTTAATAGTTTACATCAAATTAATATAGTATTTAATGAAAGTATATTGATCGATCGATCAATCGGTAAACGGATTTTTAGCATTGTCAGTATACGTTTATTTACCTTTTTTTTCATTATTTTTATTCAAGCTGAAAGAATGTGATATATTTTTGAAGATGAAAATTTAAGTTGAGACAAAAATAGTAATCAATAATAGTGATCATAATAATAATAGTAATAATAATTTTTACACATAAACTAGTTTACTATGGCTATTGTATTAGTATATTTCTTGATGCTTCTTCTAATGACGACGATTACGCGGTGATCACATGAAGATAGTTAAGTTTTGCAATACATATGACTTTTTTTGTAGGAATTTGTCAATAAGTGCTTATCTTTTGATTCAGAAGAGCTTTTTTTATAACTTGAAGGATATCAAACACAACTATTTAGTGTTGTTTTGAAACTCTATCGAATAGCAACCTGAGACTATTGAATATTGCACTAAGCAAAGTGATTATAATCTATAGGTACAAATATTCAGATCTTCATTCAAGTTGATTATTTAGTTCCTATTAGTCTGTTATGAAAAATAATTGATTTTAAGTGGAGGTCTAAATCATTCAATCGGAGTTATTTAGACTGATGATCAGATTGTCACTTGATCAATAGGTTTCGATCCGAGCTTAGGATTAGACAGATATGAAGTGAATTAAATGCGCTCAACCCAACTACCTCGATGTGCAGTGTAGATGTAGGCTACCTAGTTGGGGTCCGCGAGACGAAATTCACCGGTGGTTAGAGAACTTAAACAACATGGCTGAAAATCGTTTGCAATGGCGCAGGTACATCTACACTTTGTGTTCTCTCAAATTCTAACTTTCTGAATTCCTCATCAGCTGCATCTTTCTAAATTTATCTCACTGAATTATACTTCTCGAATCATATCTTCAAACCCTAATCTTCTTCAATACCGCTAATATTTTTGCTACCTCTACCACTCTTGGATTTGAAATGACAGTTGCGTCTCTGTACTGATGTGGTATGGCAACCTGAACTTATGTACTCATGTACGAAGTTCTACGTTGTAACTGACTGATTGACTGGAATGTCTACAAGAGTAGGTCGAGAAATGGCTAGCGGTGGCCAAATCAAGATATATGGATATCTGTCTATGAAGTCATTGTTTATTGGCTTGATTCATGTAGGTAGGCTTAGACTATCTGTTTGATGTCTGAATTATTGTCGTGACCAGTAGCTGGAGATATTAAAAAACATAGTTCACAGCGATATAGATACATTCACTGTGGTTGGGACATGTCTTGCGTATGCCCAACCACCGACTGCCTCGAAGAGCTATGTTTTGTAGTGTAGGAGTAGGTTGGAAGAAAGTTAGGGGTGGCCAAACCAAAACATGGCAGAAATGCATGAAGTCGTTGACGAGTGGACTTAGCCATGTCGGTAGATGTAGGCTACCTGGTTGGGGTCCGCGAGATGATTATAATCGATGGTTAGTGACCTTGAATGACATGGTTCAAAATCGTTCACAATGGCGCCGGTGCATTCATTATTTGTGTTCTCTCAAATCCTAATCTTCTGGATTCTTCAACAACTCTAGTTTCGACTCCCTAAACTTTTCTCACTGAATCATACTTCATGAATAGTATCTTCTAACCCTAACCTCTCCGATTACTTCTAATACCCTTACTACCTCTACTACTATTGGATTTGAATTGACAATTATATCTCTGTGCCGATGTGGTATGGCAACATGAACTGATGTACTTACGTACGAAGTTCTACGTTGCATCTGACTGACTGACTGAGATACATTCACTCTTTGTCTTATATTTCTACTTTTTATTCAATGATTTCATTTTCTTCCTTCACAACCGTATTGTCTATGTGTAATTTTTTTTCTGTATTACCACTATTACTGTTATCGTTTCTGCTACTTTGATGTTTGCCTTGATAATTCACTATGCTAATGTTGTGTAAAAATTTAAACCATTACATATATATGTCAGGTTTTGCATTGCTTCTACTTGTGATAGACCAACTTACTGCCATTTAATGACCTACCGATATTACCATAAATATCCACTACTATAAGTATTTATTTAAAACACTTTTCTCGGTGTTTAATTTTAAGAATAAAAAAAAAGATTTATCGATTTTATTTGCTTTGTACTGTTATTATTGTTGTATTTTGTTGCGAAAGAAAAAAAAATTTGACTGAAAATAAAAAAAAAATTGCATTAGAACACTTGTCTGTGTTTCACTTTTTACCGCTTTAAAAAAGAACACAACATTATTTCTTGCCATCACAACAGTTTCAATATACATTCTCTTATTTTTCTACTGATACATATCTTTTATTAAATCAAATTAACCAACGTACAAATACTTTAGTCAAATTAACAATAAATCTTATATATATATATATATATATATATATATATATATATGTATATATATATATATATATATGTATATATATATATATATATATATATATATATATAATCAACTATGTCCATTTCATGTGCATTCTTTCGTTTTATACAAGTATGAATGCGCATACATGCAACTACACACGCACATACACACACACACACAGATATTTGGGTACAAACCAATGTAATTAGTCGTCTTTTAAAATAGTTATTAAGTAGGTTAAATGTTTGAAAGAGGCGAAAAGAAATTATTTTGGTTTTGGTCATTGCGTGTGAGATAACCTTGAATAAGGTGAACTTGTCTGTTTCAATTAACTGAGTTAACATATTGATAATTATTAAGAATAATTATTGAATATGATTATCTGTAGAAGTCTGAAAAGCATTCGGTTAGGTAGTTACTATAATATAAATTATAGAAAAAGTATGTATTTTGGCCTTAGGCACGTGAACCATTGGATGGCAGCTCATTGGTCTAGAAGTCAAGCCTTTTTGCGATCTGAAAGCTCTGGGGTTGATCCTCGGTAGGGTTATAATTACGCACTGTTGAGATGTCTCGTACGAGGACAAAACAGCTGTGCAGTGTTTCCTGGTTTTCGGTAGTTGTTTAGCATAAGCCTCTTCCTAACGTATGAAGTAACATTCAAATGTTAAATTCAGAGGAAGATTAAAAAATGAAATAAGTACCAATGGCTCACTAGCAACGATTTCCATAGATTATTTATATTCCCAATCATGGTCGGTATTTACGTCATACATCCCAACCAAAAAAGTCGGTTCCCTTTAACTCCTTAACCGAGATCTGGAGTGCTGCTATGGATGTGATAACGGTTTTTACCTTCTGGTCATTCATATATAGTGGAGGAATGCTTCTTCATGAGGGATCCGAGAAGAAAAATGGATTAATTGTGGTCTTGACAATCCTATTGTGTAACTACTGGACCCAAGAGGTAACTGCTTGGGACCAGTCACACACAACGTTCTGTGAATTTTTTTGGTGTGTTACCTCCGTATTTTCAAGAGCTTGTGGCGGAAATCCATGGCCATGGTGAAATGTTCTAAGACCAAGCCTTTCTAGTCTATTCCATCTTTTGTGAGAAGGTATTTTCATCGTATATGCTAGTTTTATAGGGCGAAGCGTCCGTTTACCGCCATGATCAGCCATGAACGGGACTACAACTTCACCCTTGAAATTTGTGCGTGTTCCCTAATTTTTTAGATAAATAGTAAATGTCGTATTTAATTAACCATTGTGTAGAATAGCAGACTAAAATTTATATTTCCATATGTAATTATTGTTTAATTCATCATGTAATATCTATTTTTTTTTTAAAAAAAAGTTTGAAATTTTTATCAGTAATATTGACTGTTTTATTTATTTATATTAATTTTACAGTTCAAATTTATAATCTACCACTAAATGAGTTGTAGGCTCATTAAATAAATTTATATGATACAATATTCATTAAATTTTCAAAATGTGCAAATAACCGGTTAATCCATCTATCAATTAATTTGTTAGTCAAAACTTTTTCCAAATAATGATAACGATTTACATAGTCCAAATGGATGATGCTTTAAATGGTATATTGCATTATTTCATTGTCATTCTGGATAATGTTATTAACGTCTACTTCATGTTGTAGTATATGCTAACGGTCTAAAAATCATTACTAACCTATCCACAATCAACTGATCTACCTTAAAGAATACTAAACCATTAAATAGTCAAAATGTCTTATTACAGAATAGTTTAAAGTATAATTAAAATTCATACTGATCAAAACAATAATATTGTATGATCGATATATTTTTGCTATTTTGTTTCGTATAATTCATTTCTTATACTTTTCATCATTTTGTATAAATCTTTCTATTTTTCAGTCTGAATGGAAACGTAATCATCCACTTGTTATATCTGGTTGTCATCATAAATTTACACAAGAATTATGGACTCCACAAAGTTTTTCAAATGATTTTGGTGATATGAAAACAACATTAATTGATTGTGCTACAGGTGCTGAAATATCACGTTATACATTAAAATCATTTTGGGATGGTTTTGAAAAACGTGAATGTAAGTGTTTTAATTGTTTGTTTGTTTGTTTATATGAAAAATTAAATGAATGAAACTCAGTCAGTCATTTGCGACGTAGAACTTCGTACGTAAGCACATCAGTTTATGTCGCCATACCAAATCAGCACACAAAGATGCAATTGTCAATACAAATCCAATAGTAGAAGAGGTAATAAAGGTATTAGAAGTAATCGGAGAGGTTAGGATGAGAAGATACTATTCATGAAGTATGATTCAGTGAGAAAAGTTTAGAGAGTCGAAACTAGAGTTGTTGAAGAATCCAGAAGATTAGGATTTGAGAGAACACAGAGAATAAATGCACCGGCGCCATTGTGAACGATTTTGAGCCATGTCATTCAAGGTCTCTAACAATCGATTATTATGATCTCGCGGACCCCAACCAGGTAGCCTACATCTACCGACATGGCTCAGTCCACTAGTCAATGACTTCATGGATTTGTGCCATGTTTTGGTTTGGCCACCCCTAACTTTCTTCCAACCTATTCCTACACTACAAAATAAAGCTTAGACGAGGCAGTCGGTGGATAGGCATACGCAAGACATGTCCCAACCACCTCAACTGATGAAGTTTCAATACTTCATCTATTGATCTGCCATTCTTACCTAGCACCCGATTCCTAATAACAGCGTTGCTCACTCGGGTGTCCCACGATATACGAGCAATGCTTCGAAGACACCTATGATCGAAAACCAGTAACCTACGAATATCTTCTACTCTCATTGGCCATCTTTCGCAGCCATAAAGTAAGACGGAGCGAACGACTGCGCAGTACACTCGTCCTTTAGTCAGCAAACGGATATCTTGCCTTCGCCATAAGTGACGCAGGTTGGAAAAAGCCAATCGAGCCTTCTGTATCCGAGCTGAGATTTCGTCAGTCACCAGGCCATCAGCACTGATGAGACTCCCCAGATAAGTGAAGCGGTCTACACGTTCGACTACTTCACTCCCTATCACTAGTTCAGGTGCCGATGCAACCCAATCTTGAAGCAACATTTTGCATTTCGAGGGAGAAAACCGCATCCCGAACATGCTTGCATTGTTGCTTAGGGTAGTCAGAAGACTGCGTTTTGTCAGCATCTTCACCAAGTAGGACAATGTCATCGGCATATTCTAAGTCGATAAGCAAGCCACCTGGTAGAAGGTCCACTCCTGAAAATTCAGACGAGGATAAGGTTATTTCTAGGAGCATGTCTATGATAAAATTAAACAAGAATGGAGAGAGTGGACATCCCTGACGGACACCACTTGATGTAAAGAATTCCGGTGACAGTTCTTTACGTCAAGTAAAGAACTGTCAATATCTATTAATCTTTTTGGCCACGTTTTTAATACATGAACTTATTGTACATACATCAATTGATCATTCAGTATTGTGCAGTATCCTGTTTGTTTAGTCCTCAACTGTTGTTGATTGAATCCTATTGATCAAGTTAGAATGTTGTAGTGGCTTCTAGTTTAAGTGACTTCAAACTATGTACAATAGTTGAGATGTTCTGTCACATGGTTAATGGTAGTCAATAAGAAACCCGTACTTAGGTCTCATACTAAGTAGCATTCGTCAGTAAGGTGCACGTTCAACTGATGCTTTGATATGCTCGAGCTATTATGAGTTCACCTTACTCAGTAAATAGAACGAAGATCAAGGATTTAGTGACACGATAGGCTATTCTAATTCGATCGTCTCAAGCCTCAATAACTAGAGGAGGAAGTCTTGATAAGGCGTAGAGAAATGTATTCCACAGGCACCCAGAAAGTACGAAGTCGACAAGCATACAACTCAAGCTTATTTGCACAATGACAGCCCTTGGTGAGGGCTTTAAAATAATGTACTAAAATAATCCATCAACCAATGACAGTCAAGGATTTTCCGAGTGTGAAATGCAGGCTTTAGGTCAAAATAAGCGTCCTTGGCGCGACAACATGAAATTCAAAATTTCAAAATAAAATTACAAAATTAGGAACTTTTCCAAGTCAGTTCTGGGGATCTAGTGTCCACAACATACCTTCTGTGGGATTTGAACTGGCATTATTAACTAGTTTTAAAGTTCATCACGTTACTATTGAGCTAATCAGGCCGAATATATCTGACCATGTTTCACAATCAATAGGAACAAAGTGTTAATGGTTCTTTCTCTTTGAATTCTAACTGTGAATTGGTTATTATTTGTTTGTCTATCTCTATACCTTTACAATGAATATCGATTAAAAAAATGTTATTATCCAACTAAACCAACTAACTCTCTATTATATTTCACGATAAAATCATGTTTAATTGATTCAATGTTTAACATAAAATTCCATTTCTACTTATGTTTCTCTTTTCCAAATGAATAGAATTTAATCAATAAAGATTTATTTTTTTCATTCTCTAGTCTGTTGTTGTATATGTGAGGAGAAAATAGACAGATAGACATAGGCATATGGTACAAAAATAACAGATCAATGAGAGGAAATAGATTGTTAGACAGATGGTAGATAAATGCACAAAAAGAGTCAATAAAAATCCTTTTAACATTTAGTTCTGATGAAATTATTGAAATGGAATTATTTTATAACGACAAGAGACCGGGTTTTTTCTTGTATATATGTGTGTGGGCGTGAAAGTAGAAAGAAGGAGTAAGAGACTGTTGATCATTATATATACTGACATGGTAACTGTCAGAATGGGTTGTTTAACTTGGGTGGAGAAAAACATTGAAAAAGTAGGAAATAATGAGCAAATACTACTGTTATTCCGCTTTGAAACGTCTTTTAAACATTATTCATCAACACTCTTGTGCAAGATCATCACTTTAACATCGTTTACCTTTGAGACTAAAAATTCCTAGCTTAGATCTTATCTGAGTTTTAATAATTTAGGTAGTGGTGTAGTGAAGTAGAACACAGGTGGGGCAACCGAATTGTATTTAACGAAAATTACAGCGTTACTCAGTAAAATTGGAAAACCATATCGTAAATCGTTTTAATTTGCAAAATATCAGTCCATCATATCGAACTGAACTGTTCCTGTTGCAAAACATCAATCCATTGTGACTATTCATGTGTTTCATACAAATTCCATTGTGTTCTAACTCTTCCTTTCTTGATCTTCCCCCATCTTCTGCTGCCAGACATTACGTTGACACTCACGTCATATACTACTTATAAGTAGCTCACACCACAGTGGGTGTACTGTGCTTAAGAGTTTCTAGTTATGATGCAACAGATATACACAGTATTCATTTTCAATACAATGAAGCAGTGGTTTAACGGTAAAGACATTTAGGTTTCAAACACTATGTTTCATTTTCGTGTCCCACTCCGAATTCAATTTGAGCAACCGAGTATTTTTCGCATATCCTCACGTAATAAGGTGAAGCAGAAAATTAAGTACAATTATCTGTACATGATAAATAACTTATATCGTTGTCAATTTACATAAAATTTACATGGAAGTACTTTTTTCCTGTATTTCTTGTTTCAAGTTCATATACTTTTGTTTGTGGTTTCTTCATTTTGATAGAACCATAGAAAAACACACGTACACAATTTTGGTTACTCTAAAAAATAAGCTTTAAATAGTCAAATTTGAAATAATTTCCTTCAAGTCAGATGCAGAGTCAGATGCAACGTAGAACCTCGTACGTAAGTACATCAGTTCATGTTGCCATACCACATCAGCACAGAGATGTAATTGTCGATTCAAATCCCATAGTAGAAGAGGTAGTAAAGGTATTAGAAGTAATCGGAGAGGTTAGGATTAGAAGATATTATTCAAGAAGTATGATTAAATGAGAAAAGTTTAGAAAGTCCAAACTAGAGTTGTTGAAGAAACCAGAAGATTAGGATTTGAGAGAACACAAAGAATAAATGCACCGGCGCCATTGCAAACGTTTTTGAGCCATGTCATTCAACGTCTCTAACCATCGATTATAATCATCTCGCTGACCCCAACCAGGTAGTCGACAATTACCGACATGACTCAATCCACTTGTCAGTGACTTCATGGATTTCTGCCATGTTTTGGTCTGGCCGCCCCTAAAAAAATTTCCTTCAAACTATCCATCAGTCTACTCACTAATGAACCAAAGTAAATACATCAATTTATAACTGTGATTACAGAATCATTTTTGTCGGACTATACGTTTACCTATCGATCCAAGTGGTGGAATAACACCAGTCTAAGGTTTCGAATTTCTTATCTTCATTTCTATTTGGTATTAATTCTCTAGAGAAAATTACATTACATAACTGATGAATTAGTCAATTTTCAATAATTTTCTTCAGAATTCTGTGACCATTTACAAATAGTTTATTATTCTATTAATTAATCAATAAACGCGATTAATTGTTTTTTTTTTCATTATTTTAGTAAGTTTATGACTTGTCTTTGTGTTTTTCTTTTTCTTTCTCGCGCTTTCATTTTCTATTAGTTTATTATTTAATTTAAAATGAATTCATTTATTTGAAATAAAGTTGAAGTGATCAGCTGATTATTAAGTGGTTCTTATGAATAATAATAATAATAATTTATTTAACCCTATTGTTATAGAATGTTTCACTAGTCAGTTAAATATTAACTAGTTATATAGTATGATTCATATTGTTTTCAAGTATAACATCGCTATTGTTACCAAAATATATATAGGTACAGATTGATAAGAGTGGATATTAGAAAGAAGACAAAGTTGTCGATGAAAATTCACTGCTTCACTAAACACATTAAAAAGTGATATTGAATTCTACAGTGATATATAAATATATGTATATAATTTTAAATATGTGATCAATAATTAAAATTGAATTCATCGAATTAGTAATGATTGATACTAATTTTATCTGACCTTCAAGGGATTTATTAACTTTTTAGGTACTTAATTAACTCTCAGTAAGCATGTGTTACACTCAAATCATTACTATTTGAATCCATGTAGGCCATATTTTTCGGACCTAAACAGGTCCTAAGTAAGTGTTAGATATTTAATAATTCCAAGGTTTATAATAATCCGTAACAGTAACCAAATTTAATCTTAGATTCTCTTTTACTTATTCCACATATTATAAACATGTCTAAATCTTTCTTATGGTGATATATATGTGGGTTTCTTTCTTACTTTATGCGTATGTATGGACGTTTTTAGGCTCTATATTTGTTTACATTTCGAGAGTATACTGTTACACTTTTTCCCAGTTGTTGATGTTAAAGATTTCAATTAATCAGTCTTTTTTCTCATGCATACATCCTGAGTGAACTGTTACAATGCTACCATTTAGTTACAAGTTTCTTTAAATTAACATTAGATTATTGCTATCAATGAAATGATTGGTGAATGTTTTGTCTTATTTGGGACTGGTTGGTTGGATGTACTTGTATGTGAGTGTTCATGTTCACATCACAACTTAAATGTTTCACTTTAAACATCTAATGAGTTGTTGACTGAGCTAGTGATTCTTAAAATCCACCAATTTGTGCAACAGGTATGCATTTGATTGGTAAAAGTTTAAATTTGCTAATGGTTGACACTCAGAACTGAAGTTCACTTAGCTGAGGCTAGTAGCCACCTGAACTCATTTACCCTCTAGACGACTTGTTAGATTTTTACGACAAGCGGTGCTAAGTTCAAATATCAATCGGTGTATACATCGATAACAACATGTAGGCCCATCTAGTTGACAAATCTTAAATAAAACGATTATTATCACTAGTTACTATTGGATGTTAAATTCTACTTTTTATTATCATAAACATCTTTTTACTTGAATCTGTTGTAGGGTAAATTATAATTATTTTATTTGTTATTTGTGAACATTATGATGTTTCTTCTCTGTTATTATTATTCTTGAAAATTTCTAAAAAGCGTATACATAAATATTAGTGATAGGTTTGGAAAGAGAATGAGTGAATGAAACTGATTCAATCAATCAATCAGTCAGTCAATTGACTTCGTACGTACGTATATATCAGTTCATGTTGCCATACCACATTAGCACAGAGATGTAATTGTCAATTCAAATCCAAAAGTAGTAGAGGTAGTAAATGTATTAGCGGTAGTCGGAGAGGTTAGGATTAGTAGATATTATTCAAGAAGTATGATTCAGTTAGATAAGTTTAGAAAGACAAAACTAGAGGAGTTGAAGAATCCAGAAGATTAGGATTTGAGAGAACACAAATAATGGATGCACCTGCGCCATTGCAAACGGTTTTGAGCCATGTCACTCAGGGTCTCCAACCATCGATTATTAACATCTCATGGACCCCAACCAGCTATTCGACACATACCGACTCAGTCCACTTTTCAGTGACTTCATGGATTGCTACCATGTTTTGGTCTGGCCCATCCTAACTTTCGACCAACGTATTCCTACACCGCAAAATATAGCTCGATGAGGCAGTCGGTGGTTAGGCATACATAACACATATCCCAACCACCCCAACTGATGAAGTTTCAATATTTTATCCATTGATTTGCCATCCTTAACTAGTACCCGTTTCCGAACAACAACATTGCTCACTTGGTTGTCTTAGGATATACGAACAATGCTTCGAAGACACCTATGATCGAAAACCAGTAACCTACGAATATCTTTTACTCTGACTGACCATGTTTCACAGCCATAAAGTAGGACGAAGTGAACTACTGCACAGTACACTCGTCCTTTACTCAGCAAACAGATATCAAAACAATTAGCAAATGAAAACAATGATTAAGAAAAACAAACGATAATGTAAAACTGTCTTTTTTTTCCGAAGCAAACAATAGAACAACCGTATTGATCTCATAAAGTTAATTTACCAACTTCTTACTCCTATTATATCAATCAATATTCCATTTTTCTTGTCCAAAAATTAGACTCTGCTTACAATGGTTTATGAAGTTTTTCTTTTTTTTCCCACTTTGTTGTTATTGTTGTTGTTCGATTTTTTGTTCCCTTGATAAAAGCCAAAATAGAAATGATTTATCATTTTTTATTTTTTTTTGATAAAATTTTAACCTAAAAAAACAACCCCACAATGTAGATAAGTAATAGTTAGTTAGTGCATGTCCTTTATTTTTTCTTAAACAAAAAAAATGAGAGAATATTTGAAATGGATGCATATAATGTATGTTTGTCTATAAAAAAAAATGAGACAAGTTATACATAAATAGAATTTTTTTTTCCCCTCACACATATGTAATTCGCCCATGTTCACAGGTTTATCCACTTGTATTGTTTGCTTATATGTGATGGATATGATGAAGTAAATGTGAACATGATTGTACTTTTTGTCTTTTAAATTAACACTTGTGAATTTTCCTTTTTTTACTCCTTTTTCCTAGAATTCCAAATATTCTGAAAGTTAATGCATTAAAATAACATAAAAATCTATGGATGAAATTACAATAGATTATTAATTTATATGATATTTTTAAATAACTTGTGTTTCATATCATTGATACAGTAAATAAATAATTGACAGCATAGTTAGTTAGATATGAAGATTAATGTGCGATAAGATAGTATTTAAAATAATGGCAAAAATAATGATAATAATAACAGAGTTTGGGAGGTTTTGTGTTTTTAAACATTTGAATTCACCAATCAATCATTTTTAGACCATCATTAGAAATCTGGAATCATTGGATGGCCGTTTCGTCCTGGTATAAGACTCATCAGCGCAGTGCGCATCCACGACTCCTGCACCTCGCCGGATTCGAACCCGGGACCTTCGGTATTGTGCGTGAAAGCCTAACCATTGGACCACTGGGTCGGCATCCAACGGTGTTAATGTTTAACTCTGATTCTTGAATTGTTTACTTGCAATCGTCAGTTACTAATTATTTTGTATAGGAGACTTATTGGAATATTTCATATTGCACTAAACATATAATATTGAATAAAGTCATTATTATAATTACACGACTTTAACTACTTAATTCTGCAGATATGCCACAGGGCAGTAACCATATAATTTTCATAGCTTATTATCAAGAACTGAACTGTAGAACAGGAAGCACTGAAAAGTTGTTTCATTATAGTATACGGTTCCTCATTAATGCGCATTCATGATCATGAATTCGGGACTAGAACACTGGTTATTCAGTCTTGAGGATAAACACTTCAATTCTGGACCGATAAGTTAGGATCTTATTATATTATTAGTGATTAAATGTAATCGATGTATTCGATATTTCACAAATTTCATTTTGTTGCCCTATGCCTAGATAACTAATTCATACTCTCGATGCGGTTGAACTCTACCAGTCAAGATTTCTTCCCAAAAACTCTTGAAATTACACCTCAAAAGTCAGTCAGTAGTAAACAAATGATTATTATTATCAGTGTCAAGAGGTTTGTGGAGATTGTAACTTTTTATATGGTTGAAATGTTATTTATCCAGCTGCTAAGCAAGCTAGCTATACAGCATAATAAGATAAATATCATTTGATGTTGTATACATTGGAATAAATAATGATTGATTATGTTTTGCTTTGTTTACACTTTGTGAAAAATATTTTATTGATTGATTTGTTTTTTTTCAATTGTTGTTATTGTTGTTTTTGGAAATTATAGGTCGAATCACTAGTAAAGATGGTCGTCCACTTTGTTTAAAATTAAAAGATTGGCCAACTACAGATGATTTTGCTGAATTACAACCAAAACGTTTTAATGATTTGATGTTCAATCTACCAATGTCAAATTATACCCAACGTGATGGTCAATTAAATTTAGCTGCTAGATTATCATCCTTTTTTGTTTGTCCTGATTTAGGTCCAAAATTATATGTAGCTTATGGAACAGTTGGTTCATGTTCTGTAAGTTATTAGTTAGTTAGTTATACAATCCATATTATTTGTATATTATTTACAGAATTATTTTCTAATAAAATCACTAATGAATTTTAATGTTGTAAAGAATTTTTCAAAAAAAAGAAAGGTGAAGAAAGAAATATTCCAGGCCAATTGTTCATTTTCGTATATTGGAATTTGCATCAGGGGGTTGTGAAGATTGTTAAGTTACACATTTTTGAAACCATGAATCGATCAATGTTAGATCACCATTAGAAACCTGGAAGCACTGGACGGGCGTTTCGTCCTGGTATGGGACTCCTCAGCAGTGAGCATCCACGACTCCTGCACCCAGCAGGATTCGAACTCAGGATCTTCGGTATTGTGCGCGAACGCCCTAACCGATAGACCACTGAGCCGGTATCTAACGGTGTTGATATCTAACTTGATCAATTCACGGAGTTGCGCAACACAGTCTTCGGTAGTTAGTGTCTACACCCGAATAGGTTGAACTTCACTGGTCACGTCTTCCGACTAGAACTCGGAGAAGATTCCTCACGAAGCTAGTCACTAGTGAGCACAGGTAATTTGCATTACGTGGTTGTGAAATATATGATTATGAATATACCTGATCAGAGCTACTACTTTGAGCAGATCAATCTATATTTTAGATGGAAGTTTGTATTCCTTTAGATTCTATCATGTCAGGCAAATTAATTGTAAAACAGTAAGACTAAAAGTTGAAGACTCATAATTCACGGATCGATTCGTACATTGGATTATGACGGTCGTAAGGTGTTTCTGTCAGAAAACCAGCATTTACACTTATGCCACCATCCTACAATCAAAAGGAGAGGTTAGGGGAGAGGTGTCTGGGACGGACTCTGAAGCATTGCTTGTGTATCACGGGACAACCGTATAAGCAATGCTGTCGTTAGGAAACGAGTTCTAGGTAGGGACGGTAAATCAATAGATGAAGCATTGAAACTTCATCAGTTGAGGTGGTTGGGACATGTGTTACGTATGGCTAACCACCGACTGCCTCGATGAGCTATGTTTTGTAGTTTAGGAGTAGATTGGAAGAAAGCTAGGAGCGGCCAAACCAAAACATGGTAGAAATCGATGAAGTCACTGACAAGTGGACTGAGTCATGTTGGTAGATGTAGGCTACCTGGTTGGGGTCCGCGAGACGATAGTCACCGGTGGTTAGAGACCTTGAATGACATGGCTGAGAATCGTTTGCAATGGCGCAGTTGCATCCACTCTTTATGTTCTATGAAATTCCTAGCTTCTGCATCTCTACCTTTCTCCTTCGAGATTTATCTTACGGAATTATACTTCTCGAATCATATCTTTGCTCCCTAATCTTCTCCATTGCTGCTAATACTTCTATTATTGCTATCACTCTTGGATTTGAACTGACAGTTACGTCTCTGTGCTGATGGGGCATAGCAACCTGAACTGATGTACTTATGTACGAAGTTCCGCGTTGTATCTGTCTGTCTGTCTGAAAAGGTTCTTGCTTTGACTCCTGATGGAATTGCTGGTGCGCATTGCTGAGGAGTCTTATACAGCGGTTAAAATTGATTGTCCCATACTTTCTGGTTTTCAATGTCACTATAGCCAGAATCAGTTTGTGGTGTAAACTGCCTAGAGAAAAATGTATTTTTTGTACATGAATTTTTATCAGTAGTATTTCGATTTCATCAGTTGTATGCATTTACATAAGGTCAAACTTCAATTTTATTGACTTTATGATACAAGAAATTAATTAGTAATAATCTCAATGGGTATATTCTCTTCAATAATATTTTCACAAGTTTTCTTTGATGCCATTTGTCTAATTGAAAACTAATTTCTCCAGAAATAATTCAACTGATCAAATCAAACACATGCACACACACACACACACGCACTCAGTATTTATTCATATTTCTGAAGATTAAACTAAAGTGAATATCAAATATTCAAATATTTATTTCAATTGTTTCGGAAGTAGATTTTATCATTATTGGTGTTGTTGTTGTTGCTACTGTAACAAACATGTGTAGCCTTATGTAATAAATAATTAGTCAATTTATTCAACATTTTTATTCAACGTTGCATAATCTAGTTGTTGCTGTTATTGTTGTTATCTATGTTACAAAGTAATACTGCCTATCCTATCTTGCTGTCTGTTTATCTATCTTAATACGGATTTGAACATTTGTATTTTAAGCGCCTTGTCTATCTTTTCTCCAACATACATCAGCTTATATATATATACATAGGTGTGTGTGTGTGTATGTACAATACATAAGTATGCATGCGTGATCAATTTCAAATTGGTCAGTTTTATGATGGATAGACAAATAAAATAGACAGATAGTAGATAGATGATGAAATTATATATAGAGTCTGTTTAAAATACGTAATAACTTTGTTCAAATCCTTTGTTTGTTTTTTTGTTATCGTGTATTGATCATTTTATTATATTTAAATGTTGTTGGTTTAAAACAATTTTGTTGAAATCATATTTTGCCTTATTCTTCTTCTTCTTTAATATGACGGATATAATTTTTTATTCTTATTCTCTTGTTGTAGTGTAGTAAATGGGTTGAAAGTTAAACACCACAATAGAATTTAGATTTTTAAAAAAATGTTCAGCCTTATTTTTTTTTCTTTTTACTTACACCCTGGAATAATTGGTACAATTTCTATGCTTAAAAGAAATATTTTAGGTCTTTTAAATTGTGCATATATATGCAAGTTTTATGCATTTTAATGCGCGCACACACGCATATAGACATGGTTACACATTGATCTATTTCTTTTTACATCAGTATCTCTAATTAGAACTGAATAGTAGTTATATATATATATATATATATATATATATATATATATATATATATATGCAGTTGTATTTCTTATATTGACAAAACATGTTGTTAGGTATTTACAGAATACTTTTTAATAGGTCAGTTTATCAAGTTTATGAAGAAGATCATGGTGTAAATTTGTAGTGAACGAGAACACAGGTGAGGGCAACCGAATTGTATTTAACGAAAATTACAGCGTTACTCAGTAAAATTGGAAAACCATATCGTAAATCGTTCATTTGCAAAATATCAGTTCATCATATCAAACTGGACTGTTCCTGTTGCAAAACATCAATCCATTGTCACTATTCATGCGTTTCATACAAATTCCATTGTGTTTTAACTCTTCCTTTCTCTTGATCTTCCCCCATCTTCTGCTGCCAGACATTATGTTGACGGTCACGTCATATACTACTTGTAAGTAGCTCACACCACAAATTGAATGAAAACTAGATGTTGAAAATTATTGATTCATAGAAGGTAACCAACCCTATCATCGTTTAACTCATCCATTTAATGGATCGTGAACACAACCATGGATGTCTTAAAAGCGTTTAATAAAATAATTACCAGATAACAGTAGTGTACACCACTTTTACTTTGTTCTGTAGATGAAATGCTTCCGACCAGAATTTTGCACACAAACTAGTGTAGTCGATAAACTTCTCATTATTATTTCAAAAGTTGTCAATCTCGGTATCTCTTATGTAATTGTTATGTGACACTACAATCCATCCAGAAACTTATTGCTATTATTATAAATCATATACAGATAATGGTGAGTGTTAAGTCAAGATAATTAAATGGAAGTTTTTTTGTGGTGGTGTTTTATTCTCTGAGCTGGTTGTTTTGGTTGTGGAGCTTTCATTGTTCTTCTGAACAACATCATCAGCACAAACTTCAGTGTACCTCATTATTAGAATCATTCTAGATTTTATAGTTTATTCAATTTGTCATTCATTTGCAATGGTATATATAAATAAGATCACTTTTTTTTCACTTCATGTCAAATATAAGATCTCATCATTTTCTACCTTTGAACATATTTCAATTGATTTTCTCTATTTTTCTCTCTTATTTCTTTTCTTATAGATTAGTACAACAAATTTACATGTGGATATAGCTGATGCTGTGAATGTGATGTTGTATGTAGGACAACCAACCGATTCATTGAATGCAATGTTAACTAATGCTGAAGCTATTGTAAACATATTAGCAAATGCTCATGTAGATGATAGTTATTTAGAAAGAGCTTTAAATTGGTTGAATAAAATTAAATCACATCAAACTGATGTACATAGTAATAATACTGATAATAGTATTAATAATAATAATAACAATAGTAACAATACTACTACTACTACTACTACTACTACTACTACTACTACTACTGTTACTACTACTAATCCCACTACTACTATCACTGATACTACGACTCATGGAACTGATTCTGAAGGTAAGTTATAATATGATTTAGTTGTGAATATATATTTCTTATGCATCAAATTACTGTTATTATGAGAAGAAAAAAGACGATGAATGTAACTTACTACAACATATTTAAATACTTTTCTTTAAAGACAAAAGTAGTTGTTTTGTGTGGCATCAGTGTTCGATAGTATGCTAACATTTGTTTTTGTTTTTAATGTTAGATGGTTAGAAGTACAGAATTCCTAAATGTAATTTTTGTGGTAGTGATCATTAGCTGCTGAGAGTGTATTAAGTTCGTCACTTGAAGCTATAACGAGTTCACCTTAGTCAATAAACGCGAACGAGACGATTGCCAGCGTCCAGGTAGGCTACCTTGAATACCCAAAGTTGAAGATAAAAGGCTTTGTAAGCGTACAAAGTATATTCTACAAACACCCAGCAATCACACACAGTACAATTAAGCATACCTCTCTCGTTTAATTATACATCATAGAAACGTCCTTGGGACAGTTATGAAAATAGCACACTAAAATACACCGCAGCCAATCACAGCCATGGATTTTCATGGTGGGAAATGAAATCTCAAGCTCACCAACTGATCAGCCTATGCTGGCAAACGTGAAAACCGAAATAAGGCATTTATCAAGCGAGTTTTGGGGATCTAACATCCTCATCAGAGTGTTTCTGAAATTTTCGGGGAAAACTTTTACTTTTCGTTAGACTTCTGTTTAACAACCCATTGTTATGAATGTTATAGTTGAGGTAGATATATATTGAATTATCTAACTAATTTCTACACAGCTGACACATAAATTGATGCTGATTAATAGTTTGATTGGTAGAATTTGATTAGTAGTGAGAAGAACTAGGGAAAACATTACATTATTCAGTACTTAATCAGTGTACATCTTTAGCTCAACTTCATTTTACTATTATTAGTTAATAAGTTATATGAATGATCATTGAAAACCAGTGAGTATCATGAATACGTTTTGTATTTCTACATAATACTTCTTTAATGTACTACCTACTCTATTATTGCAACAGACACTGAATATAAAAGCTTTAGATGTCACAATCAAATCATTATCTTTGGATCGTTTTAATGGTGTTCAGTGATTTACACATGCTGAACTTTTAATTATTTCTCATACTCAGGAAACCAATGTATATTCCTATTAGTTTTTTTATTTGATATTGTTGAACTCTATCAGTTACGACTTCTGACTTTAGCTTCATGAATACTTTTCGAGGTTCTTTACTAGCTTCGGTTCCAAAACATGGTTTATGGAACTTGTTAAGTTCATGGTTCACATTATAAAATGATTTTATTCTCATAATTATATTGATAATTCAATTCGTAGTTTTTTTTCTCAAATATGATAGAGAAACTGACAAGTAAAGAGTAGAATCTGACGAATGAACATTTTTTTTCATCTATCGAATTACATCATTCGTTTACTGATATTTTTAATTGACATACCGCTTATTATCGACATTGAATTCGGTTTTGTATGTTTACTGGAGGAAGGTTTTATTTCTGAGATGATTATTCAATAAGTATTGAATCCCATTCCAAGCTTTACTTGACTTCGGTTTGAATAAATATGTAGTAGTAGTAGTGTAGTGAAGGAGAACACAGGTGGGGCAACCGGATTGTATTTAACGAAAATTACTGAGTTACTTAGTAAAATCGGAAAACCATATCGTAAATCGTTAATTTGCAAAATATCAGTTCATCATATCGAACTGGACTGTTCCTGTTGCAAAACATCAACAATCCATTGTCACTATTCATGCGTTTCATACAAATTCCATTGTGTTCTAACTCTTCCTTTCTTGATCTTCCCCCCATCTTCTTCTGTCAGATATTACGTTGACGCTCATGTCATATACTACTTATAAGTAGCTCGCAGCACAGCACCACAGAAGTAGTAGTAGTAGTAGTAGTAGTAGCTCGATTCGCTTTCATAGTAGAAAATTTATCTAATAGCCAACAATAGGAACTTGAAATTCAGAGAATGCATTTGTAATTTTTTTTTAAAGTCATTACTCTGTTTTTCCATCAATTATTAGCCAAAACTTATGTCAATAAATAAAGGTTATAAAAGTTAATAAGAATAATAAATTATTAATCAAACAATTCTCATAAAGATTATTATTATTTTGGGGCACAGTTTTGAAGGTTTGCGTTTTTTACACATTTGAAATCATCAATCAATCATTGTTAGACCACCATTAGAAACCTGGAAGCACTGAAGGACGGCCGTTTCGTCCTGGTATGGGACTCCTCAGCAGTGCGCATCCACGACTCCTGCACTTCGCAGGATTCGAACCCGGGACCTTTGGCATTGTAGGCGAACGCCTTACCGTTGGACCACTGGGCCGGCATCCAACGGTGTTAATGTCTAACTCTGATTGATCTAGGGATTTCAAAGGTTGATTATATGGAATAAAAAAAAATATCTATATATCTTCAATTTATTTATTATAGTAGATATTCCTGGAGCATTATGGCATATATTTCTACCGGAAGATTCAACTGGTTTACGTGAATTTTTATCAAGAATAAGTGAAGATGAAACTGGTACACCAGTGGAATTAGGCAGTGATCCAATACATGATCAATTATTTTATATGGATCAATCATTATTAGATCGTTTATATGATTGTATGGGTATACAACCATGTACTATTGTACAATTTCATGGTGATGCTGTATTCATTCCAGCTGGTGCTGCTCATCAGGTAACAATTTTTTTCTCGAAAATTTCCTTTTCTTTTATACACTATTAACGATTATTCTGTTTTAAATTTCATTGTGATTTAAGTAGTAGGCCTATTTTAATGAGATGTCTTGTTGTTGCTGTTTTTTTTAGTGTATGATAGCTTTATAAGTAAACTAACTGATTGTCTTTTTTCATGTTCTGATTTGTGGAATTTTTATTCAACCACGTTTTTTTTTGCTTTTTTTGTTCTATTTTTCAAACACTGAAAACATCTCAAATTATATGAAATCGGATATTGTAATCAGATTAAAATAGTTGTTAACATTGAGTTAATAGGATAATTATATCGATAACTTCCACTAAGTGAAATTAAAAATGCAAAACATTTGATTTTCAACTGATATTGTAGTGAACGAGAACACAAGGTTGGGCAATCGGATTGTATTTAACAAAAATTACAGAGTTACTCAATAAAATAGGAAAACCATATCGTAAATCGTTTTAATTTGCAAAATATCAGTCCATCATATCGAACTGGACTGTTCCTGTTGCAAACAACATCAATCCATTGTGACTATTCATGCGTTTCATACAAATTCCATTGTTTTCCCACTCTTCTTTTCTTGATCTTCCCCCCGCATCTTCTGCTGTCAGACATTACGTTGACACTCACGTCATATACTACTTATAAGTAGCTCACACCACAATATGAGCATTGAATTAGTCTTCAACGTTCACTTGTTGTCATGAGAGGAGTCTCAAAGGTCATAGATCTATCTCCCGGATATGGTGTAATGGATGCGCATTGTCATGTAGTTAGTTCATTACTAGGATGAGACAGACATTTGTCTAATGTTTCATACTATCTATCATCCAATTATTATTCAGCCAAAATCATTTGAAGACGCAAAAAAAGTACAACAAATAAGAAAGTTTATATTATTTTATTTCAAAATCATTTTTAAATATTTATTCATACAAATTATTTTTTAATTGATTATCTTATATATATATATATATATATATATATATATATATATATATATATATATACTTTATTGAACTATATATATTTATAATATATATAGGTACGAAATTTAAATAGTTGCATTAAAGCAGCCGTAGATTTTGTTTCACCAGAACATTTACCTCAATGCTTTCAATTAATGGAAGAATTTCGTCAATTATCACCGACACATCAAAATCATGAAGATAAATTACAAATTAAAAATATGTTATTTCATGGAGTAAAAGATGCTTTATCGGTTCTATTGACAAGTAATAATAATAATAATAATAATAATAATAATAATAATGATAGTAATAATGATAATAATCAAAATTTAATCAATTGTAAATTAGAATTGAATTCAGAACAACTATCTCCATGTACACACAATAGATCATTGTCAACAACAACAACAACGTCTACATCATCGATAATGTTTACTAATAATGATCATCAAACTGCGTTAAATAATTCAATTGTAAAATCCGAATTAAATCCTGAATCTTTTCATCATCTTAATGCACAAAACTATCATGTTACAAATTCTTTAAAGTCAATGAATAATAATACAACAGATAAAGGTGGTCGAACTAGAGGTAGACCTGGACGACCTAAAGCAGTTGATTTAACTAATCATGAAAATATTAAACCATCATCATCTGGTTCCCCACCTCTGCCTTCAATTCCTTCATCGAATCCTGTATTAAATTCAAATTCATTTCCAGTTGTACCTGCAAGTACTGTTGTTCCTGGAAACAATGATTGTATCGATGATATTGATACATCGAATAATCATCCTGTTAAATTTTCAAATTCATTTAAAATTTCTTCTAGAGGCTCATTTTCTACAATATCATCATCATCATCATCATCATCGTCGTTATCATTCTCTCCAGATATAACCAAAGATGTTAAATTAAATACTACTGCTGATTGTGATAAAATTTCCACAACTATGTCTAATAATCTTACTTCCTCTTCATTATTACTGTCTACTTCTTCTGTTTCTAGTCCATCTGTGAATTTAAATACAACACAACTTATCCCTTGTAATTCTTTTCCTTTCCCGTCTACTTCATCATTACCATCAACATCTACGACGATATTATCCTCTACTTTCTCTTCACCGATCACTTCGTCTGTATCTTCTGTCTTGTCATCATTATCATCAACATGTACTACACAAAAACAACAACAGAATTCTACTAATCGTCTACTTAATTTAAATCACAATGACTATTTGTCATAATTATTCTATATATACATATGTTGTCCTGTATGTATACTCGATAGTCTGTGTTCTCTATTACACTTCTATATACAAATCATGATTTCATGTAAGTCTTTTGGTCAAAGAAAGAAAACATAAAAAAAAGAGGCCAAACTGTATACTACCTGTAGAAATGATTAGAAACAATTTTTCTGTATTTCAATTGTTATGGTGGATATGATGAAGTCCATGGATTTAATCTTCTGTTGAATAATTAGGCGCCAATGTGTGAATTGTAATTTGTTGTATAGTTCTGTTTTGTTTTTTTTTAAAAAAAATTGTTTATCTCTTTTCCTGTTTTAATATTGATAATAATAATAATAATAACGATATTATCATAACTTAATAAAATTGATAAATATGTTGTATTGACTGTCCTATATATGATCTTCTACATATTTCTCTTATTCTTGTATATGTGTGTGTGTGTCTACCGAATCTTCTGACAAAAAATGCCATTTTTCATATTCTCATGAGTTCCCTCTTACACTTCTGTTACTTTCTTCAGCTCTTACTATACAGCACAGAAAATGTACTACTACTACTACTACTACTACTACTACTACTACTACTACTACTACTACTACTACTACTACTACTTTTATCAGTTGTACTAATTATTAAATTTCAATCAGCCTATATATATTTTTTCTATCATTGTAGTAATTTCTGCACATTTTTGTATACCCCGGTCACTTTTATTTCTATCTTTTATTCTCCGTAAAAGCTGTGTAAGAAAGGTGTTTTGTTTTTTGCTGTTCTATTCCTGTACCACACACACACACAAACACGTACACGTAGTATACAAAGGATATGGGAAAATCGATGCGTATATATCAGCCTGTGTTAAGTTGTTGCTTGTTTGTCTGTTTGTTTGTTTGTTTGTTTACGGATATTCTTTATTGACATGTTCCTTTTTGATTCTGCTTTTCTTTACTCTCTCTCTCTCTCTCTGTCTCTCTTGATTTTCAACCGCTATCTTCATAGATTCCAGAAGTATAATGATAATAATAATAATGATAATGCTATATATGACTATTATTATTATTATTATTATTACTATTGTTAATTGTTATAATGATTATTGTGTAATCAAGATCGAATTGAATTATTCTCTAGGTAATTCTCTATATATTTACCACACACGTATGTCATATTTTACTTAAATGTATTTCATTCATGCACATAAAATTTCTAGTTGTTTTCAATTGCGTTTGTGTGTGTGTGTGCGTGTGTGTGCGCGTGCGCGTGCTTGTGTGTACAAGTCTATACTGCTGATTCAGTAGATTTATACAATGAAGTTTGTCTTATAACAAGAAAGGCATAGAATATTGAAATATACTGTTGACTTATTTTTTGCCTATGCATTACATATCATAAGTAAACTAGTACATTCTGTTTCGGATTATTCTCAGTCAGTCAGTCAGTTGCAACGTAGAACTTCGTACGTAAGTACATCAGTTCATGTTGCCATACCACATCAGCACAGAGATGTAATTGTCGATTCAAATCCAATAGTAGAAGAGTTAGTAAAGGTATTAGGAGTAATCGGAGAGGTTAGGATTAGAACATATTATTCAAGAAGTATTATTCAATGAGAAAAGTTTAGAAAGTCAAAACTAGAGGTGTTGGAGAATCCAGAAGATTAGGATTTGAGAGAGCACAAAGAATAAATGCACCGGCGCCATTGCGAACGATTTTGAGCCATGTCATTCAAGGTCTCTAACCATCGATTATTATGATCTCGCGGACCCCAACCAGGTAGTCGATAGTTACCGACATGGCTAAGTCCACTAGTCAATGACTTCATGGATTTGTGCCATGTTTTGGTTTGGCCACCCCTAACATTCTTCCAACCTATTCCTACACTACAAAACATAGCTCGTCGAGACAGTCGGTGGTATACGCAACACATGTCCCAACCACCTCAACTGATGAAGTTTCAATATTTCATCTATTGATCTGCCATTCTTACCTAGCACCCGATTTCTAATAACAGCGTTGCTCACTCGGGTGTCCCACGATATACGAGCAATGCTTCGAAGACACCTATGATCGAAAACCAGTAACCTACGAATATCTTCTACTCTGACTGACCATGTTTCACAGCCATAAAGTAAGACGGATTATTCTACAAAAGAAATATTCGTTTCAAGTGTTTCTACTCGGTAAGGTTAGTTAGTATAGTTATTCAAAAAATGGACAATAATAAGTATTATTGAATTAAACTTTCATCTCCACAATACGATCTATTCTAATTGTAGCTTCTCTTATTAAGTGAACTGTCTATATCTATCCTATGTCTTGTAATGATTATAAAATTCACCTAAGTTTATGACATTTTTGAATAACTTTCTGCTTTGTATCGAAATACTTCATTAGCAAACAGTTTTTCAGTTCTTAGTCAATTGATTACAAGTTATTTGATTTAGATGATATAGGCGCTAAAATATGTTATACACGAGGTGATAGTAATAAATTAGTATACTACTAATATACTAAATTACAATGGTAAAATGAACAGCTGTTTAATGCTGATTAGTAGACTAAAAAGACCGGAAACATTAGCAAACATAGTCTGTATACTATCGAAATATATTGAAAAAAAAAGAGTTAAGATTTATAATTAGTTCAATCATCAGGTTTAGTTGCTCTCTTTAATGATCAGAGAGTTAGAGCACTATTCCATAAAGTATTATTTATCTTCAATATGTAATTGTAACGGATAAAAGCACTTGAAAATGATTCCTAACTGTTCATTCAGCATGTCTGGATAGTCTTCGATCAACAAACTTGAAGTCTTTCATTTCGATTGTTCACTAGAAAATTGATGTGAACGAGTCAAGTCTCTTGCATTGTGATGATGGAATTTTTACATTTTCCGTTTCTGATTTTTAATGGTTATTTGATTGAAATCAATGCGTTTAATTATAAGTTGAAAACAACATCAGTATGTCTCCGGAAATTAATGTCTGATATGTAAAAAAAAAATCATTAGAAGTAGAAAGTCGGCGTGTTTTTTTTTCTTTTATAGATATTTATCCAGTCATTAAATAAAATTCGTTAACATAACTATGTAGTAGTATCTATAATCCTCTTGATCAACAAAAATCCAAATCCTTTAAACAACTATTATTTTAGATGCACATGTAACCAATAGATTCATTCGATATAATAACATTTCCACTTTTGTTTAAAAAATGGTTACATACATTTTTTAAGGAAAATAAGCAGTTGTAATTTGTTTTTTCAACTTAATTTTATGCATATTTAATATTTATATGATCCATTAGAATTTTATAGTCAACTCTTAGACAGAAGACTAATAAAATTAGCGTATAAATTAACATTGTGTAAGAAAATGTTGGGCGCGGGGGCAGGGATTTCATTTATTTACTAATCAATCGGATTTAAGCTAGTGGTGACTCTTTAAGCTTAAAATAATCCTAATTCTTCACATTAATTCACATTCCTAGCTTGACCCCAGTAGGTAGTTGAGTTTCTGCAAGGCGACTTCTAGTATAGTTCAAAAGTTGACTATAAATTATATATTGTCGTTAAGATTTCACTAAATTCCTGATTACTAACTGTTAAACAATATAGTATATATGAAACACTTCTAATCTGATTATCTAGTTATTACGTAACAGTAATCACTGTCGTGTTTGTTCACAGCTTAGGATTGATGAAATTACATTGATCAAGTTAAAGTATGATCACACATTTTTACGTGATTCAGTGTTGTTGTTTGTACTGTATATTTGGATGTAATCGAATCATTTGGGGAGTATCAATTAGATATATACTTTAATGACAAGTATTAAACAGCCATATATGTCAACTTAGAGCAATCATATTCAATAAGATTTTGTGTTTACATAAAATCTGCCTAAATCCATCTTTCAAGTGACTAAAGCGATAGCAAACGGAAAATATTTAAATTCAACAATCTATTAGGTGAATGAATATCTGACTGAGCTTTACAGGAAAGCTGACAAAATGCAAGTTACAACATTCATTTATGAACCAAATTCTCTCGTTCGTCAAACGAAACATGCAGTGACGTGGATCATTCAACGACCAGTATATTTTAAAAATATGAAAATGAACGCATATTCAAAAGTGAAGAAGAAATTGTTTGTCAATAGTCACATTGAAATCGGTCGTTCCAATCACACTGGTTCATCCAATTAAGTAGAAGAAAGAGAGTGAAACAGTAACGAATCAAGAGCAGAACTATTAAGAGCATTTAGTTAGCACTTTATGAGGTAAAGAAAGGGAAGTTTAACAATCGCAAACGTAAAATAATTCTAAACAAAAAATGATCATTTATAATAATCAACATTATCGACATTAATGAAATAATCGTTGCCGTGTTCAATAAGTAGCAAAATAATAGTCAGTTGTGAAGTCACAAATGCATACAGACACTGACGTGAGAGTGACGATAAGTTATGATCAGCATCACACAAAGAAAAACGTACAAGTGAACAAACCATCTAAAACAAGGTTTGAGGCTTAACATTTTATTCAATTATCACTGGACAAATATTCACAACTGAAGAAATTGTCCTTGAACACATTGGGTGCATTCACCTCATACCTTCACTGATTTTTTATTGTCTAAAAAACAAATGAAACAAACATAAACATGGTGAGAAGGTTGAAGGTTAATTTGGCATTCTGGCTACAAGTAGAGGTATGCGTAGACGAATATGTGAATACACGACAAGCTGGAAGGCACTCTTCAATTCACAAGGTGTGCAAGTGATGGACGGCATGCATTGGTGGTAGTCAGTGAATAAGCACTGACACATACACACAGATAGACGGTGAATCGTGCAATCATACATGACATGAGCTGGATGATTTGAGTGTGGAGAGTGATGCATGACAGTTAGCAGACTTACCTTGTTGTGGAGGTTGGGATTTTTTGGCAAGTGTTGGAGCATTAGGACCTGGAATGAAGTGAAACGACAGCTGTTTGTTAATCAGAATCTCAGTAGATTACAACGATCAGTAGTGGGTGAGTGGGTGAGTGTGTGAGTGGTTGATAAGGTGAAACGGAACAGATGCGTGTTGGCATTCGATGAGAGAGTATGAAAATGGACAGTGTTGTGAGAGTTAGTGAATGGTTGAGTTACCGATTGAGCATATTGTTTGACTGTGAGAGTGAGTGCATAAGTGAGTGAGTGAGTGAGAGTGTATGAGTACGTGTTTGTGGAGGAATGATCGGTGTGTTGTACTGCTGGAGACAATTGAAATAAACCAACAGAAAGAATAGATGTAGTCGGTGTAATGACTTACTGCGTCCACGTGGTGGTGATCTGGATGGGTTTATTGGATTCGGCTTTTTTCCCGATGGTTTGGTTTGTGCGGTTTGCTTGACGGTGGTGGCCGTATCTGTGAGATAGAATGAAAGTACCTTTGTATTGTCCACGGTGTTAACTCAGACACACGCGATTCTAGTGATACGCACTTGACAAGCATGCTGAGAGAAAGTTCAATGGGCACCGACTGCATGATTAGTTGAAGGGAATTTCAGTATTGACTGCAG